TGAATGGTAGAAATTAATTTTATTGTGTGTATATCCTGGTGAAATTATCATTAATAGCGAGATTTCCGCGTAATATAAGTTCCATGTAATGTACAAAATGGCTGCCATTAATTTTATATTTTTTTTTCTCAGTTATTTAAAAAAAATCTTTCCATTCTTCATGTATTTTAATTTAAATACTATTGCAAATCTCTATTATTGTTGTAAACTTGAAATTTTCAATTTAATAATGTTTAATTTAAATAGTAAGCTTTTATGGTTGACTCGTAGGCTGACCACATGTTTTTTTTTTTTTTTTGAAGCAATGGAAAGATACCGTTTTTTTTGTTGTAACTGACACGTTTTTTCTTTCTTAAAATTAAGGAACTGGCCCTGTAAGGACAGTAAGGAACTGGCCCTGATAACTAAGAAATCGTAGTATAAAGAAAGTCATCGTAGGCTGAGCTACATCTAGAACTGCAGAATATGTCTAGAAAGTCATCGTAGGCTGAGCTACATCTAGAACTGCAGAATATGTCTAGAAAGTCATCGTAGGATGAGCTACAGTTAAGAGAGCGACACGGACCAGTTCGTCCGTTGAAATCCGAAAACACACAAGATAAGTGTCGGCCAGGACCACACACAATTTTTGAGTCAAAGTTCATACTAGTCAATTTTAATTTTAAAAAAATAATAACTCATTATCTAGTCAAATAACGTAAACCGTAAAATTTGTTAAAATCAATAAATTTCATTTTTCTTTCTTATTGTTAACTATCACTCATTAATTAATTTATTTTAAATTAAAGCCGATTAATTGTTTTAAAATTTAAGTTCTTTTATTTTCCTTACTTTCAACTGACAAGTTAATGGCAAATTTACTTTTATTGTAGATCTAAAGGTATGGCGCCCAAATTAATTTAATTGAATTCTTTTAAGTCTTTTTAATTAAAGACCTTGCCATTGACTTGAAGGTAAATTCTAAACGACTCCCACTGACCCATTTTGATCTGAGCTAGGCCTGAGGCTTGTAAGAATTCTGATTATAAGGATTTTTACAATGAGACCCAGGTAAGGGTTAAAAAGTTAACGTATCATCTGGTGCCTAACGTTAAAATTGAACATAGCAAAATATGTTTTTAAAACATAACATTGAAACGTAACATTACACAATAGGTTACTAAACGGGTTATGTTGTAAAAGGCCAACACTTAATGAATAATTTGTGATTTGTAAGAAGAAGATGGGATATGTAGTTATTTTATGGACTTCCGATTTGGACACCGTTGTGGCAACATTGAACTGGCGGTCTCCGAATCGGGAGCTAAGAAGTCCCATAAAAATCACAAAATATCTAGTATAAAAGTGACCATCCGACTTTAAATAGTATACAAAATTAAACAAAATATTCAGTGGTATAATTGGAGAAGAATATTGAATTAATTATCAAGTGCAGTGGAAATGTAAAGACAGAAGTATGACGCACGAGGGGACAGCCTTTCCACTTAACTAAATTTGAAAAAATAAATAGTTCTTGGTAAATTATCCTCAAGGATTGAGCCCATTTAAAACGAAGAGAAGAATAAGTAGTTATTTTATTTCATCCTATGTCCAGCCAGAGACAACCCTATATCTTCCTCCGTGACATTATTGATTTAAGTTGTCGGTTTTTGCCAGTTGTTTTTTTTTTCGTTATTAATTTATGCATTGTGCTGTTGTTATATGGGAAGCATAATTTGTCTTTATAGATTGCTTGTTCAGGTTAGGTTTATTAACTTTATCTCTTCTATGAGACGAGTGACGCCATTTCTTTTATCAAATTTATATGCAATTTTAGTCTTATTTTTATTAAAATATAACCTACATTTGCTGTCCCTCCACTAGTTTTATTTATTATAGACCGTCAGATAGTGACAGAGTTAGGTGCCCCATTTTTGCATACAAGCCTCAAAGAAGGTTGAAAAGTACATCGATGTGGAGTAGAATAAAAGAAAATTTACGAGTGGCTCTTAGGGATAACACATGGAAAATTCGATTTTCTTTATCAGAAAAATTTTCCGACCCCAATATGCAATTATACATTCAGGTCATCAAGAAAATATATTTTTCGGACTAGTGACGATGTACGTTTTCATACATTCGATTGGCTTGTGTGGAAATATCTGGTAAAATCTCGATTTTTCGTTAGAAGATTACGCCTTTATTTCAACCCTTTAGCCACTTGCAACATTAAAGCCTTTGGTTTTCCGAAGCCTAGTTCTATTAATTAATCGTATAGTGAAAACGGCTTGCGTGGAAAAATGGGCAACAAATAACCTTTCATTATTGTTGGGGCAAATCAAATTTTCCATGTGTTATCTCCAAGAGCCACTCCGAAAATTTACTTTTATTCTACTTAAAATTGATGTACTTTTCAACCCTCTTCGAGGCTTGTATTCGAAAATGGGGCACCTAAACCTGTCACTATCTGACGGTATATTAGCTGATTAAAAAGTGAGCTTCATGTTTTGGTTAGGCATAAGAATTGTTTGTTTTATTATAGTTAGTTTAAAATAATATTAATAAAACTATTAATCAAATAATTTGTATAAATCCTTTTTAATTACCTATAAATTGTGTGCATTTAAAGGAATTGGTGGAAATGAAGCGATTCGCCAGCTTTGGGACTGTGTATTAAGGAACATTGTCAATGCACCCTGGCACTGCCGCTTCATAGGGACCTTAAAGTGGAGACTGTTGAAAATACAATACAAAAATTTAACAGTAGTCACCAACAACTGCTCCAACACGGAATCCTTGAGATTATCCAGCTCCTCAATAATGCCAATCTAATAAGAAGACTCAAGGGGGAACCAAGCCTTTTGAGTTAGTTCAGTGATGTTAGATTAAAGCAGAGTATAGTGCGGTTAAGACAAGTGTTACACGTTAACGGTAGTGTAACTAAATAGACTCTAAAGTATACTAGTGAGTAGAATCTTAGTTTATGAAGTTTTTCATCCCTAGATAAGTTAGGTTAGAATAAAATTGCTAATTGATCTTAATGATCAGATTGGAATAATCGTAAATGTTTCTTTACTTTTATTAAAAAAAAACTTTTTGTTTCAAATTAGTGCATTTAAAGGAATTGAAGAAAATGAAGCAATTTGCTTTTATATTTTATGAAATAATGTTTAAAAATTATTTATTTATTTATTTGTTAGTTTAAGAATCAATGTTTGAGTTTTGTGTATTCTAAATAAACATGTATGCAGGGTGTTTCGAAATTAGACGGTCATATTTTAAGAGCGTAATCTACATCCTAAAATATAAATAAAAGTTCATATAAACATAGGTCCGAAAACTTTTCGTTTTCGAGATACGGGGTGTTACAAGTGAAGTCCTGATGGCACAATTTTGTAAATATTTTCTAAAATTTTTTTAGTCACTGGTTTTCTAAAGTTAAAAAAAATAAAATTTCTGATTCCACAGGCCTACTGATTATTGTTTACACTTTCGAATAAGATAACATCAACTTATCATGAAATTTTCAAATGCTTTGCTCTAAAAAATGGTGCGTCCTAGCGATATGCAACAAAAGTAGCTTTATTATAAATAAGTGGTTTTCCAAATTTTATAGTCAAAAATGTTAAAAACTGTCAACAAAAAAAACTTAGGGCAATTTTACCTTAGCCCCCCTAATTTACCCACCTATGAAGATGATCAAAAACTCAGGTTTATTCCGTTAAATAGAGCGTAAAGAGGTAAGCATTTATACCAAATTTCATTTAGTTATCTTTAAACTTTTAGAAAATATGGGTGATTCTCGCCTAACTGTGATTTTTACAACTTACATTTTTCTAAAATTAAAAATGTTTCAAAACGTATGTTTTACGCGTTTTTGTTTTCTATTTATGCAAAGAAATAAGCCTGTAAAGTGGTTCTACTACAGCTACGACACAACGAAAACTGTCACAAAATTTAAAAATTTTAATGCCACGGTACTGACATTATTTCCACGGTACTGACATATAAATGATTATTTTTTTTTACCAATCCAAAGATTGGTATAAAATTGCAATAAAATTCAATGCAGTATGCATTAGATTGTAGTTATAAGAGGTAAATTTTATATTAAAAAATGAATTTTGATAGAAATTTATATATTTAATTTTAAAAATGAGAATCGGACATGCCACGGTACTGACATTTCGAGTATTTTTATATGCAGCTTAAAAAAATTACGAAGGTTTATGATCTAATTCATAATGTCGGTTGTAAAATACCTCTAAATTTATAATATTAACTTTTTGATGAGGAAAACTTATGCTAAACGATAAATAAAACACTGGACATAAAAAATCACAGTTAGGCGAGAATCACCCATATATAAATGTGTCATCAGGACTTCACATTTAACACCCTGTATCTCGGAAAAGAAACGTTTTCGGACCTATGTTTATATGAACTTTTACTCCTATTTGAGGATGTAGATTACGCTGTTAAAATATGACCGTCTAATTTCGGAACTCCCTGTACTTATAAATGTCTTATTTTTAGTCTAATAATATTTTAGAAAAAACCGAGATTACATTTCTAAAATATTACTATTTAATATTTCTAAACGATTTCAAATTTTTAAATAACTGTGAAATATTATATTTACAGGGCATTTTTACGTTTCAGGCACATTTCAGAAATGTTTCTGGGATGTTTTGTAATATTTATACAACATTACAAATATTTCAATGTAATATTTTTGAAATATTTCCGAAATGTGTTTGTGCTGTATGGGTTGTTGGCGGTATCAATAAAAAAAATAAATAAAAAATATTTCTTCCGACTCTTGGGCGTAAAAATCAAGTTCTAATTATTCTTTATCATAAAAAAATGTTTTTTTTGGTAATCCAATTGCTATATCTGGACTAGACACAAATCAAAATACCGTTAATGATAAGAAAATCATAGATATGTAAAACTAACACCTGCAGATTCAAGTACTTTGATTCCCATTATCAATAGGTATATAATTGAGTAAGTATATAAAAAAAAAACAGTTAATTGCTTATGAACATACAATGTGATAGCCTCAAATTTTAGGTGATACAGTTGTTAGTGAAATTGTGTAATTATTTTCGTTAGCTAGTGATAGTTTGTTTCTTAACGGACATTACCTAATATGGAATTCAAAATTGTACAAGGTAAATATTGTGTTGAAATCGATGCTTTATATTTGTCTTTCGTAGTGGACTGTATCTTATACCCAGATGGAATAAAACACCGCTTCAATTTTACCTTCTATATTGGTCAAACATGAACAGAATTATTGGAATGTCTATTTTGAGTGATTAACGGATTTCAAATTATATTTTTTTTTTGTTTCGTTTCCCTAGTATTTTCGACATAGGCGTATCAAAAGATAGGTTTTGCAGTGCTCTACAACATCCTCCCCCCCGCTGAAAGTGAACATCTTCAGAAGTTCTTTAGGAAATTGGCAATGGACATAATTTTGAGATAGATCTGTCAAAAATACCTGATTTAGTGCGAACAGTGGCAACTCTAACTTTGTTATCGCTACCTGTATAAACCTTAACAATTCTCGCTAACTTCCATTCTAACGGTGGAAGTTTATCATCTTTTATTAAAACTAAACTGCCTATTTCTAAATTATTTTTCGAAGCATACCATTTTGGACGATTTTGTAGTCTATTTAAATATTCTGTAGACCATCTTTTCCAAAATGACTGCTTGAGTTTATTTATTTGTTCCCAATAAGTAAGTCTATTGTCAGAAAAATTTTGAATATCTTTTTCCGCGAAGGTGCCCATTGGTTCGCCGATTAAAAAATGATTGGGTGTTAGACAATTAAGATCCATTGGGTCTGACGAAACCGGTGTAATGGGTCTTGAATTTAAGACGGCCTCAATCTCGCATAATAACGTAACAAATTGTTCATAAGTCAGTATAGATTTCCCTATTGTTCGATTGAGATGATATTTCGTAGATTTTATTCCCGCTTCCCATAAACCTCCCCAATGAGGACTATTTGCCGGTATAAATTTCCACGAAATTTCCTTTCGTGCTGTGTAATCATATACTAAATCCTTATTATTTTTAAAAAACTCGTGAATTTCTTTAAGTTTATTGTTCGCCCCCTGAAAATTAGTTGCGTTATCGCTATAAATAATTTTAGGACAACCTCGTCGTGCTATAAATCGCTTCAACGTATTAAGAAAATTCTCTGAACTCAAATCGGAAACCAGTTCTAAATGTATTGCTCGAGTAACAAAGCAAACAAATAATGAAATGTATGACTTGCGAGTTACTGATTTTCTTAATCTCGATTCCTTAACAAAAAATGGACCCCCAAAATCAACACCTATTTTTGAAAAAGGACGACACACCAAAGTTCTATCTTTTGGAAGGGGTGCCATTAGTTGATTTGAACCAGCAGCCTTAAACCTGTGACAGGTTACGCAATTTTTCAGTTCCTTTTTTACCTGTTGTAATCCATGAATTGGCCAAAATTTTAACCTTAAATTAGCTAAAGTGTTTTGTGGCCCTGCATGAAATAAATTCAAATGTTCTTGCCTTATTAGCAATTTTGTTATATGTGCATTTGATGGCAATATAATGGGATGTTTTTGAGAAAAACTCAAATCTGAATAATCTAATCTCCCTCCTACCCTCAGTATAAAATCATCATCTAAAAATGGAGCTAACTGCACTAAACGGGAAGAACCTTTAATTTGCTTTTTTAATTTTAAACATTCTAGTTCTTCCATAAAATAGTAACCTTGAACTAGCCTTAAAATCATTATTTCTGATTGATTTAATTCAAACAATGATAGACAACCTTTTAGTTTTTCTCTAACTCCTTTTGCATTATGTACAAATCTTAAACAAAAAGCTATAACACGCTGCAATCTCAGAAATTTTGAAAACCTTGAGAACAATTCCAGTGATTCTTGAAACCGCTCTAGATTAACATGTGTAACAACTCTTTGTTCTGGTATTGGCTCCTCTATAGCTAAAGATGCCCTATTTTCTTCTGGCATAACAAGCTCATGTAGTATATTTGGCCCATGCCACCATCCTTCACACTCAAATAATAACCTTGGATCTAGCCCTTTACTAACAAAATCGGCTGGGTTGCTTTCCGAAGCAATATATCGCCATTCTGTATTACATGCTAGTTCTTGAATTTCAGATACCCTATTTGCAATAAATGTAGTCCACCTAGTAGGAGCACTATTTAACCAAGCTAACACTATTTTAGAATCTGTCCATAAAATCACTTTAACAAATGTTAGTGGTAATATTGATGAAAGCCTATGATATAACCTTGCCATTAACATGAATCCACATAGTTCCAACCTTGGTAAAGAAATTGTTTTTAGAGGTGCTACCCTTGACTTAGAACAGATCAACCTACAAGAAATGAAACTACCTGAATAAAAGACTCTTAAATAAAAACAACACCCATATGCAACAGTTGATGCATCCGAAAAGCCATGCAATTCAAAAGATACTGCCAATTTATTTAGTAGCAGTGGTCTCCAAATTCTAAGTTTTGAAAGCTCCTGAATGTTTTTTACATATACTCCCCATTCCTGAACCAAATCTTCAGGAAGCTCCTGATCCCATTCAAGTTTTCGAACCCAAATTTTTTGCATTAAAACCTTTGCTTTAATCATGATTGGTCCTATTAGGCCAAGAGGATCAAATAAACTAGCTATCATAGCAAGCACCATTCGTTTTGTAAAAATCACGCCTTTTTCTTTAAATACTGCTGGAATAACTACCCCGAAATGATCCGTTTTGGAATCCCAAGATATACCTAATATTTTGTTTAATTTTTCTTCTGTTGAAGAAGTTTCCTTGCTCTCCACCTTTTCATCAACCAATTCTTTACAGTTAGAAACCCATTTATGTAACTCGAAACCACCTGACCTCAAAAGTGTAATAAGTTCTTCCTTTAACACCTTACATTCCTTAATCGAACTTGTACCCCCCAGAATATCGTCCATGTAACACTGTTCCTGTAGTATTTTAGAAGCCAGCAGATACTTAGCAGAATTTATGAGCCCTAATTCAGAAACACATTTTGTAGCGAGATAAGGTGCACAATTCGTACCATAAGTAACCGTCTCTAGTTGAATACACTTTAACTGCTCCTTAGGATTTTCTCTCCATATGATATTCAGTAAGTGTTGATGTTGCTTTGAGACCCTAATTTGCCTATACATTTTTACTATATCCGCTATTATTACTATTTGAAATAATCTAAACCTGCAAACTATATCAAATAACTCCGGTTGTACTGTTGGACCTTTAAACATTACATCATTCAGCGACAACCCTGAAGTAGTTTTAGCTGATGCATCAAACACCACCCTCAGTTTCGTCGAAATACTCTCCTCTCTGATCACGCAATGATGAGGCAAAAAATATTTGATTAAATTCTCTTTAGTTTTTAATTCTAATGGAACATACGACCCATGACCTAAACTGATGTATTCATCAATAAAATTTTTGTAACGACTAAATAATGTCTCATCCTTGTGTAATCTGTTTTCCAACGTTATAAACCTTCTTTTAGCCGAACGAAATGAATCTCCTAAATTTAACTCAAAAATTTCAGTTTTTAAAGGTAAATTTACTATGAATCTTCCAACATTATCCCTTTCTGTCGTTTTGTAAAAGTTTGCTTCACATAATTTATCGTCCCGTGTCAGTATTTTTGTATTTGATAGTTCTTCTATCTGCCAAAACCTAGGTAATAGTTCCTCAATGTTTAATTTTGTAAACATTACTATGCTTAAATTTGCAAATAAACCTTCCTTAGTTGGTACTGTACCTCCTATAATCCAACCGAGTTTACTATTTATTAAAGTCGGTAGATCTGTACCCAGTTTAATTATCCCCGACTCTATTAAATCATAATACAAGTCTGCTCCTATAAGCATATCAACCTTTCCTGGTAAATGAAATTCATTGTCAGCTAACTCTATATTTTCTGGAATTTTTAACTTAGATAAGTCCACCCTTACTTGTGGTAAATAACAAGTAATTTTGGGAACGATTCCACAATTTAATGTATACCTTTCTGACCTTTTTGATTCTACCATAACCGTTATTACTTGAGTAATATGAGTAGGATTTTGAGAAATTCCCGAAATTTGTAAGTTAGATTCAAATACTTTATCATTCAGTTTATTTACCATATCCTTCGTAATAAAACTAGTTTGAGATGCAGAGTCTAACAAAGCTCTGGCATTTACTACCTTACCTTGATTAGAAATTAACCTAACCTTAGCTGTAGCCAATAATATTTGCTGATTCCTAACAAAAGATTTTGAACTACTGCCTGGATCTGTATTAATAAAAGAAAGAGATTCATGATTTAAAGAGCACCCTTGACCTTGATTGTGATGAATTCCTTCACCTGTAGTGGATTTGCCCTGACCTTCCTGAGCTCTAGAATGCCCTGCATTCTCAGTAACACCCGGTTGATTCAAAAAATGTTGAGCATGCGTTATATTACCCTCATTGCGCTTATTTAACCTAGGACCCTGGCTAGAAGAATTTACTGTACCTGTAAAATTCTCCTTGCCCCTTGCTTGCTCAAAATTTCTATCATGTATTAGGGTATGATGTTTCCCCCCACACATTTTGCACTTACTTGCAATGCATTGGTTAACATTGTGGTTATCTTTCAAACAATTAAAACATAACTTATTTTTTAATATAAATTCACGTTTTATTTGAAGAGATAGACCTTTAAATGTATCACATTTATTCAGATAGTGTAAACCCTTGCAATAGATGCATTTTTGTCGGTCTGTTGAATTTAAATTAGTGGTTTGGGCATGTGAAACAAAATTAGAGTTGTTTTTCTTCGTTTGATCAGAAGTTAAGTTATTTAAATTAAATTGTATGTATGAATTTTCCCAAGCAATACGTTTTTCCAAAAAACTTAGAAATTCTTGGGTACTAGGTAAAGTTTCATCATTTCCATCCTGCCTTTGCAGTTCATATTGACTTCGCAACCCTTTGTCAACCTTTGATGACATGATACACACTAATAATAAATCCCAAGATTGTACATCTATCTCTAAAGCTTCTAAAGCATGTAAATGTTGTTTAGTTTTTGCTACAAATTCTTTTAGACCCGTCTGACCTTTTCCTACATTTAACT